GTGAGAACTGAAGCCCCTTGCCAGAACCCCGGCTGCAAGGTGGTGAGTTGGCCATGTGACGTTCTGTGCCTGGTCAGTGCGTTTGGGGTGCCAGGGTGTTTGGGGTGTCTTTCCAGAGAAAGTCAGTATCATTGTCTGTGTGGAACTGACAGCATACAGAGGGCAGCAACTTGCCCAGCATTGCAGAGGGAAGTTGAGAGCCCAGGTCTTCAGAGTCCATTCCTGTGCTCTGTCCACTAGGCCATGTTCAAACATCCCTCTGAGTCCCCGCTACTCAGAAGCTACTAAAAAGCATCCAGGAAAATGTCTGGACACATCTCAGCCCCAGCCCCATCACAGACAGTGGAGCTTCTGTCAGTTGACTTTCCCTGGGAGGGAGTGGGGAAGGGACAGCCTACTACAGCCTCTGAGCAGTGCTGGCCTCAATTGTGCACTTACTTATCTCCTGTGTTCTGCTGCAAGCTCTGCTGACCCGTCTCTGCTGCTTGCCCTGCAGACGTACCGGGGACCGGAGAGTGACAAGGAGGCTTGTACTTTCCACCCAGGAGTTCCTGTCTTCCATGAGGGGTAAGCAGTTTTCTTCTGAGTCTGTTTCTTAGACTGATATGAAGCCCTGAGCTACCCTGGAGGTAGATGCATGCATTGAACTTCTCTTGCAAGGAGGGTCCTTCAGGCAAGCAGGAGCTTGCTCTGCAGGCCCTTCCAGCTGTACTTCCTCTGATGCCAGGGCAGGCCCTGTTGGTTGTCATCATGGCCTGGCTCATTTCACACAAATGGCTTGAAGGTGGCCAGGCACCTTGCTGGGGCTCAGTGGGTCAGCTTGGAGATACAAACCCCAGGGACGGTGGCTGAGCTGCTCAGGTCTTCCAGCCCCATCTGTTTATAACCCTGAAGCTCTAGAGGTCTCCTCTGCCCTGGAGTCCTTTGTCCCCTGGGCAGTCCTGGGTCAGTCCATCCCTGGGTCACTCCCTAGGATGAAGTACTGGAGTTGCTGTGGAATTAAAACTACAGACTTCAGTGCATTTCTGGAGCAGCGAGGCTGCAGCACTGGGACGCATGCCTGGACAAACAAACAGGTAAGCGGGGCTCCTGAAAGTGCACAAGCCAAAGCTCACACAATGCTGAGCGTATGACAAGGCATTCTGAATTGTCTGCTCAGTGCAGGGCCAGTGAGGTCTTGAGGTGCTCACAGGCAGCAAGTGCACGTGGGCCATAGCTGAGGCCATTCCCAGTGTGCCCCTGTGCACATGCACTCAGCCTCCTATTCCACAATCAAGCAGCACAGGCTGAAGCACCACTGTTTCAGGAAGCAGCTTGTACCTGTCTCTAGGAAGTGAGAATTTGCCCCTGATGCACAACATACAGGCCCTGGTGTGCTGGTGGCTTGTGTCAGTAACCAACTTCTCTCCTCACCAGGACAAGAAGCTGGTGTCTTGTCGACAGGACTGGCATCAGACCAGCAGCCAAGTGGTGGTGACTGTTTATGCCAAGAACCCTCTTCCAGCACTCAGCTTTGTGAAGGCCAATCGCACGGTGGTAGGTGGAGTCCCAGACAAACTGGCTGGGACGTACAGAACACTTACCAGCTGCCTGCTCCCCCATGCTCACAGCCACAAGTGTACACAGGCAAGGTGTGCAAGGCTGGCACAGCCAGGCACCTTTGGTGCCATCCAGATGCTCTGTGCTGCAGTAACATCCTGGAGCAGTGGCTTGCATGCTGCCCAGATTTCTGGGCTGATGCCCATGGAAAGACAACATAGTGGCTCCTCTGCCTCAGTCCATCTGACTTCTTTACTTGCTCCCCAGAGACCTGACATTGGCCCTGGTGTTTGTGGGGTAATCCTGCTATAGACAGAATACTCCATTTCCTAGGAAAGGGGCAAGATGGCATGCCCAGCTACCTGTGCTCAGGCCATTGGCTGTCTCAGACAAGAGCTATCATAGGGCGTGACTGCCCTGACTGACCTGGATCTGGGTTCTGCAGGGTTGCCTGAAAGGGGCTTGGCTGATTTTCTCCAGCTTGCATTTTCCTGGGGTCTGTTCTGCAGAGTCCCAGCCCCAAGGGCAGCCCCGTCACTGTTTCCCTGTGCAGCCAGGCTTGTTAGGGCAGTAGGCAAGGGGTGCTATGCAAAAGCCTACTGCTCTCAGTTGGCCAAGGCAACAGAAATTTGCGTCCGCCTCTGACAGAGTTATGGAAAGGCAGTGAATGTGCTAACTGCATTGTCTTGAGTTAGACACCCGCACTAAGGGATCTTCATTCCTTGGTTTCTCCTCTTGGCTTCCGTCCCCTGCTTTTGCAGACTGCATGCAGGGTCTTGCTTGTGAGGTTGGGTGGGGACATATTTTATACCTAGAAACCATCAGTGTGAGGGGCATTATGGGGAGTTGTGAAATGGGGGCCCAGACTGTGCTGTCCCTGCAGCTAAGTCTGAGAGACAACCCCCTGCTGCGTGTGTTCTTGCTTGCTCTTCTCTTTCAGCTTGAGGTCCGTATCACCTTCGAAGGGAACAGGGTTTTCCAGGCAGAGCTGGATCTCTGGGGGGTAAGGCTCCTGCAGATCAGATCTCAGTACTCCAGCAAGCAGCAGATTGCAGCTAGACAGGGGCCAGGGAAACAGCTGGACCCCAGCAGAGCAGAGCACATGCATAGCCTCTCACAGGGCTTGGGCTGAGCTGAAACCCCCAGGGAAAGTCACTTGTGCCCAGGGCCTGAGCTCAGCCCTGTTCCCTGCCTGCCTTATTCCACTTGGATGCAGATGTTAGTTTTGCTGCACGGGAGGCTGAGGCCACGCAGTCTCCGTGTCACTACCCTACCGCTTTTCTCTTTTGTCTCTTTCCCCTGTGCTGCCTCCCAGCTACACTGACACCATGCTCGTGACAGCCAGAGTTTCTGAGGGCTGTGATGAATGGTAGCTGCTAGCCAGCAGGCAGGCAGTTGGGCATCGTTCCTGTTTCACAGGCAGGGAAGTGATGGCCTGAGGCTGTGATCAGACCTGCACCAGGCTGTGTGGCGAGTCCAAGATAGTCAAGGGTAGGAAGCAGTGCTCCACCATGCCTCTGTTCTTCTGACAGGCAGCCTGAGTTCCCTCTTCCGTGGTGCCAGGCTGCTGTGTTGCTGCACCATCCTAAGCAGGGTGGTGCCCTCCACCCCACAGCCACTCCTGTCACCTTTGTCCCATCCTCCTCCTGCAGTATCTCCTCCAGGCACTTGTAAAAACATTTGCTTTTTTTAATGCTGGTTTTGCAAGGCCCTTTGAGGGAAGAGACCCTTCCCTGCACAGGTGATGGCTCCTAGCCAACTGTGCCTGGCTGCTGAGTACATGCCAGGCAGTAACCAGCCTCCCCCTGCTCTCCCTAGGTCATTGAGGTGGAGAAGAGCTTTGTCAACATGGTGCCCACCAAGGTGGAGATCACTCTGAGCAAGGCCAGCCCTATGCCCTGGGGCAAACTGGAGCATCCCCACAACAGGTCCCAGGTTGGAGGGGAGCAGGCTGAGAAACATGCAGTGGAAGCGGAAGCACCCCAAGGAGCTCACTGGGAAGACTCTGATGACAGCTTGAGCTGGTCTGAGGAGGAAGATGAGGAGGGGGTGGAAGGAGCAGCAAGCAAATGAGGCTTGGGTTGCTTCTCCTTAGGAGGGATGGGGCCAGCTCCTTCCTAGGATGAGAGTGGGGAGCCCAGCTTTACCTCCAGAGGATCTGACAGAGCTTCCTGAAGATGCAGGCCCAGCTCTGAATGTCTAGCTGCTTGCAGGGGGGAGCTTGGGCTTTGCTTTCTTTCATCCCTCTGGCCCCTGCTGGGCTGGGAGGAGGTGCCAGAGCTAAAGGGCTTTCAGCACAGGCAAGATGGATGGGAGGAGCAGGCAAGGAACCTGCCTCAGACAAACTACCCCAGGTCCTGCCCTCCCTGCCTGACTGTGCCTGATCCCTTGTGCCGAGAGGCAGGATTAGACCCAGAGCCAAGCTGCATTGTCTAGCGCCAACTCCCCACTAGAAAGTGCAGCGCAGCCTGTGGCTCTGGTACTGGTTCCCAGCCTGTCATCTTCCCCCTGTGCTACAGCTCCGGACCCGGGGCGCAGGGTCTGGCTCTTCCACCTCCTGGGGCAGGAACTGACGAGGCCGCGGATTCCTCTCCTGTCATTAAACGCAGTTGGGCTGCCCAGGGCCTGTGTCTGTGGTTTGCTTTTCTTAAGGGGGGGCACAGCCCAGGACCAGTGTGGGTTGGGGGGGGGCAGAGCCTGCTGGGCTGGTGGGTGCCAAAGCCCCACTGCGGGCAGCCCCTGCCCTGCCTGCCACCCCTCCTGGCCGAGGGGGCTGGCCTGGTGCCGCCTGGGCGGGAAGTGGAGGTTCGGGCGCGGTGCCTGGTCCGGCCTCAGCAG